GGCCGGCAGCTCGAGCCAGCCGAGTCGGCCACAAGAGGAGCTGCCGCGGCGTCGTGGAGCAGCTCTTCAAGCAGCTCAAGCGAGGAGGAGCCGCCAGGCGACGCTGAGGCAGGCGCAGAGGGAGGCGGCGCTGGAGGCGGCGGCAGCGGGCCTGGGCTACATGCAGGCCTCGCGGGCGCAGCTGCAGACGGTGGCGCACTACCGGGCCATCCTGAGCGAGTTCGAGAGGTGGGCCGAGGAGCAGGACTTCAAGCTGGAGACGCCGGAGGCGTTGGACCAGGCCCTGTCCGCCCACATGGACTCGCTTTTCGAGGGTTACAATCACGATCAGGGAGAAAAGCCGATAGCAGCGGTCAAGTACTTCGACGTCCACGGGCAGTGCCAGTCGGTGGAGGCGCTGCCCCGGGCCCGCGCGGCCCTGAGAGGAATTCCGCAAGCGGGCCCCCGGGCAGTCTCGGACGCCCCTGCCGCGGCCCGGCCTGGCGGCACTGGTGGGCGCTGCGCTGTTCCTGGGGGTGCAGGAGCTGGCGATCGCGCTGGAGGTTGCGTGGTGCGCCTACCTCCGGCTCCCCAGCGACTTGATCTCCATGACCGGCTCTTCGCTCATCCCACCGCAGCGGGCGACAGGGGTGACCCCCTGGGCGCTGCTCCTGTACCACGAGGAGAAGCAGCCGAGGAGCAAGACCGGCCAGTGGGACGAGGAGTGCCTGCTGGACAGCAACAGGGTGACGGCGATGGGGCCTCTGCTGGCGGCTCTGGTGCGGCGTGCCGGGCCAAGCCGGCCATTGTGGTCCTTCTTAGCCGCGCAATTCCGAGTGCTGTTCCGCAAGGTGGCGCAGTTGGCTGGCCTCCCGGACTTGAACCCCTACCAGGTGCGCCACGGGCCCGCCTGATGCCTTCCACCAGACTCGGGACATGAAGGCGATCCAGGAGAGGCTCAGGCACGCGCAGGAGGCATCGACACGACGGCACAAGAAGCACACCCGATACCTCCGCGAGCTGGACCAGCTGGCGCCCGACACGAAACAGCACGGCGAGTACGTGGACGCCAACTTCGAGGCCTTGCTCACCAAGCGCAAGGCCGCGGCCGCGCCTCCCGGGGCAAAAAGGCCGCGGCCCTCGCGGCTGGGCAGCTCTGGCGCTCAGGAGACACCCTTGGCGCCGCCCTCCAGCTGCCTGCTGCGACGGCGAGGCGCAGGCTCCGAGCAGCTCTGGACCAGGCGCTGGGCCACCATCCTCGGAAGGCACAGGCATTCCTGGATCTCTTTGCTGGGGCCGGCCGCGTCGGCAAATGGCTGGAGAAGCTGAGCGGATTGCCAGCGCCCCGCCTCGACGTCAAGGCCGACCCAGCCTTTGACTTGACATCAGACGCTGAACTCAAGATACTGCGAGGTTGGATCGGGAGCCGAGTCGCGCGGGCCGTTTGGCTGGCCCCCCCGTGCTCGACGTGGAGCGTCGAGAGCCGGAACGCCTTCCATACACCTCAGCACATCTACGGAAGGCCAGATCTGTCAAATAAAAATGCAGTCAAAGTACAGTTCGGCAATGCAACAGCTCTGTTTACAGTATGCGTGATTCGTGCTTGTCTTGTAGCAGGTATTCCAGTAGCAATGGCAAACCCACAGTCCAGTCTTCTTTGGCAGTGCCCTGCAGTCGTGGAGCTCACACATTTAGACAGTAGTAGAGAGCTTGTGACGCACATGTGTCAGCACAATCAAGCCTGGAAGAAGCCCACTAAAATTGTTGGGTGGAATGTAGGTGCCCCGCCCAAAGCGCTTTGCAAACGGTGTTCTGGGGTCCGAGGGATGCGTAGTCGCACCAACCGGCCTCGCCTAGCCCTCCAAGGCCGCGGGCCCGGGGACCCCAGGAACCTCGCTGCCCGCGCAGAGGAGTATCCTAATTCGTTCGCTCGTGGGGCCGCTTCTTTGCTCGTGCAGTCTTCCGACCGAATCCAGCTCAATCATCTTGCGTCTTTATCTTTGTGAGCAAGCTCGTGCGGCTTAGCCATAATCGATTCGGGAAGATGGGAGCGAGTGCGCTCTGTAAAATTCTGTTCGCAGCAAGCACCTGTGTCGTCAACCCTTGGCAGCCTGCTACCTCTCTGGAAAATTCATCTTCGTTGGCAAGCGAGAGTGCACAGAGCAGGGTTCAGTTTTTCAAACTTAGTGCTCTAAGTCTGTAGCGCAGCCGCCTCGATAAGCCGATGCTCGCATCCGTGAGCATCGGGCTCAAGTGCACCACCAGCCCTCCCCTCCTCCTTCCTTTCCTTTTTCCACGTTCCGTTTGTCGTCAATAGTGGGAGCGAGCGCGTTCTGTAAAGTTCCGTTCGCAGCAAGCACCTGTGTCGTCAACCTTTGGCAGCCTGCTACCCCTCTGGAAAATTCATCTTCGTTGGCAAGCGAGAGTGCGCAGAGCATATAGATAGATTCGCCGCTGCCGTTTATTCTCGAATAGGGCCGTTGACTTAAGAGCTACGCACTTCGCCGCGCGAGTAAAAGAGATCCAGCGATTGGCTTCCGTACCACATCTTGGACCCCGCTTCGGGGCGTCGGAAGCTAGAAAGGGTCAGACCGTGAAAAGCTGTCAAGCAGCCTAAATGGCATCAGTGATGTTTGCTTCGAGGAGCGCTCTTGGAGGTCCTCTCGGAACCCTGTGCGGCGTTTTCAAAGCTTGTTGGAGCCGTCTGGGAACTGTCTGGGGCTCATCTAGGGTACAACTGGGCCCATCTTGAGCCGTCTCAGGTCAATTTTGAGCCATCTGGGCCCGCCAACCTCCAAGAGAATTCGGGTGCCGCCAGGAGAAATGGTGTGCCGCCAGGACCCTTCCGACGCACCCGCGCCCGTTACGCCCGCCGACGACCGCCCCGGCATCCGTTTCCTGCCCGTTGTCTGCGTCTGCAGTTCTTTGCGGGCGGGCCATCATGGGGCCCTGTTGGGCCGTCTTGAAGCATTCGGGGTCGTTTTGTTCTAAGACCGCGCATGTATGTATGTATGTATGTATGTATGTATGGATGGATGGATGGATGGATGTGTATATAATTATATGTATGTGTGTATGGCGGCAGGTATATGTGTAGGTATACCAACGACACACACATGTCTACGCAATACGCGCTCATCGACATACATATAGAGAAATCGAGGTATATACAGAAAGATGCACATAAGTCTCCGTCGCTTCTGGTGTCCCTTTCCGAGGTCTTAGTGTTGAGACGAACTTAGTGCTGGGCTCAAGCAGACGAGCGTGAGGAAGGAATTGCATGCTCTCTATACATATGCATTACTGTATCTCTTGTGCTGCGCCGAACCTTCGCGGACATTTCGGCTTGTCAGCGCGCTACGCTGAGCGCGACTCTTGTTATCCATACAGTCCGAGCCGCGAACTCAGAGGAGCTGGTGCGACTCCGCCAGAACAAAAATGATAATACGCAATATTAAGGTGAACTTGCATGGAGCTGCACGGATTGATTGGGCTTGTGCTGAACCCAGGGGGCGCCGCAGGGGAAGGGGTGTGGGGAGGTAAGGAGGAGGATTCAGCGCCGCACCGACCCAAGAAATTTGCGCTGACCTCCAAAAGGTTCTGTTGATGCTAAAGTGAAAGATTCGTGCAGCTCCATATGTGTGTTTGTGTGTGTATATGTGTGTGTGGTGGCTCCTGTGAGCCTCTGCGTGTCACCAATGTTTGGTGTCTTGTATGGTCGCGATGTGAGACGACACTAACGGTTTAAATTCTAGTGTCACGTGGAAGCGTTTATAATGCGTGACCCGACTAAAAAGAGTGTTGAAGTTACAGCTTGTGTCAACGTTTTTTGAGTGAGACGGAGTCGCCAGTGCGTGTCTCCCTCTTCTTCGGATCAAGTTCTGGTGTCTTCCACGGAGGGCTCGCGGACGTGCAGCTGTGTACTCGCATGGCGGGGGGAGGAACGATGTGATCCCAATCGCCATTGCATTTTCTGTCATTCATACCCGACGATTGAGCATCTCACTCTGCCCAGACAGTTGGGTTTGCTTATTGCGTGTCAGTTCTGACGCCGTATGTGGCCCATCTAGGTGGTGTCATCCTGGGAGATTTGGGCAGAAGTGGAGCAGGTGAATGGGGGATGAGGAGGAGGATAAGGAGAGGAGAAGGAGGAGGAGGAGGAGGAGGAGGAGGAGGGGGAGGGGGAGGAGGAGGAGGAGGAGTCAGGAGGACGACGGAGAGTCGCGAGCAGAAGGAGGCCGAGGGGATTGAGGAGGAGCGCCGGTTCTGGCGCGGACGAGCCATACGAGGGGGAGGAGGAGGAGGAGGAGGAGGAGGAGGAGGAGGAGGAGGAGGGAGAGGAGGAGGAGGCGGAGGCCTCAGGGCGGGGAGCGCCGAGGAGGAGGAGGAGAAGGAGGAGGAGAAGGAGGAGGATGCAGAGGGCGTGCAGGAGCGGCGGAGGCGGAGGGAGGCAAAAGAAGCTGGAATGCGCGGGGCGCGCGGGGGCCGCGCTCGGCCGCGCGCGGTCCGCTCGCTTCGGGGCCCTCCTCGTACCCAAGGGGGGATCTGGGGAAGATTTGGAGAGCGCATTGCATGCAGATCCGTCCAGAGTTGAGGACGGTTACGCGCGTGCTGAGTAACAGGAGGTCATGGTGGGGGCCTTCCGTCTTTGTCTTCGGTTAAATGTGTCCAGCAGCGTTTCCCTCTTCTTCACCGTTTTGGGCCTCTTGGGGAGCCCTCGTCCCCGGGGCTGGAGTCGCTTCGGAGTCTTGGTCAGAACGCACCCTGGGTGAGGTCCAGGGAGTAGCAGTCCCGGCACCGTGTTGTTTGATCCCCCCAAAGTCGTTATGGCCGTTTGCGTGAGCACATCCCAGACGTAGCAGTGGCATTTTGATACGTCTCTTCGGTTGACACCCGAGGCAAGCCTACGCATTCTCGGTTGTACCACGTCCGAGTTTCTTCCACTCCACGCAAACATCCGAAATCTTGTGCGCGTATGCTCTTGATTGGCTGTTTGCCGAGCTCCTCCCCCTGCGGGAGGTATGAGAGACTCGCGGCCCACTGGGCCTCCATTGGAGTCCAATGTCGTGTTCCCTGCGCCCGCGCCACCACCGGCACTTCCACGGACGTGCGCCCCTGCGCTGCTCGGCTCCTTCTACGCGGCATGTGTCGTCGG